CAGGGATATCACTTCCGCTACCCGCCGAAACGGAAGTAAAAGCCCCGAGCATCTGGTTGACCATACAGCGGGTTATGTTAACCGCCGATCATGTGCGGAACTTAATTAAGACCTGTTTACACTTGCAATTCTCGCTGCGATTTCTAGCCCGATTTTCCTCTTCTGATGCATGTGAACGAGTAGATGAGTTATGAATGTTCTGAGTAGGCCTATATGTATGTAGCCACATCTGAACATCCATAACTCATCCACTCGTTCACATCCATCAGAAGACGAAAATCGCACTAGAAATCGCAGCAAAACTTGCAAGCGTAAACGGGCCTTTAGTTAGCACTAAAAGCCAGAACGTAGGACGCTGTAACACCGGAACAGTTATTTAAGTAAAACTGATATCACTTCGCCCCTCATATGCAGCATGTGAAAAATATATTTATTTATTTATATATTATTGTTGTGTAATACTAGACGTTATGATTGCTTCCCTAAAAACAATCCTCTCCACAAAATATTTAACAGAAATACCTTGAAGCTGAGTTTCAGTTGCATGCCGAACATTCGTAATATAATTTCTGGGCACAATAAATCTGTAGTAAATAAGCACACCTCAACAGATGCGTCAACATGCAGCACGAAACCAAGACAATGCAATTGCAGGAATAAGTCCTCGTGTCCACTGCCCGGTAAATGTCTAACATCCAGCGTAGTATATACTGTACCAAGCAACGGTTGTTAGGAACGATACGAATCAAAAGGAATCGTGTGTCGGACATACTGAAGGAGAGTTCAAATCCAGATATTATTGCCACACTAGCTCATTCAGATTAAGCAAGTACTGTGTAGAAATGCGACAGAGCTGAGCAAATACATTTGGCAACTTAAAGGGTCAAAGGTCAAGTATTCCATAAACTGGCGTATTATTAAACGATGCAAGAGCTACAACAACACAACGAAACCACAGACGAAACGCTGCAGTCTTTGTACACAAGTCATGAAAAATTCATTATAATCTACCACCCTGAACTTTGTTCTTTAAATTCAAGAAGTGAACTTTTATCGAAATGCAGACATAGAAACAAATTTCTCTTAAGCAATATAGATTACTTACTATAATCTGTATATGTAATCTATACGTAATTTAATACTTGAACATTCCGTTTACGTCAAACATGTATATAGTACATATAACCTTGGCAACAATTAACATAGCGCGACATTTAAATCACCTGATGAGTGTGGCAAGCATTGCTTGTCATACGAAACAAGTTTGTATATAGTGAATAAATCTTATGAAGTAAACCAGGTTTATTTTATCTTTATCTTTATTAGCTCTATACTTCGGTATATCGATAATCGAGCACTCTACTCATATATGATTCTAAATACGTATTTGGTATACCTGAGCCTGGCGGCCCTCATTTGACCCATTGGGGTTGGGGCCCTCGGGTTCGCCTGGTCCGAGCCCATGGTAGTTACGCCACTGCCAGACATGCGCAGAGTGTAATGGGGTCAGAGGGCTCAAGCAACCACAAAGGAAGCGAGCTTTGCATTATACTATATACGCATTTTATTATTATTTAGTTTCGTGCTATAAGATGTGGCACTCATAGATAGCCTTTTGACTAGCAGCAAAAACGATCAGGCACAAATTATATACATGTACAAGTTGGTGCATGAAAGCTTTAAATTGGTCATATATTTAATTTACACAACACGCAAATCAATTAAAATGTTCATCAATCTTGTTGGTAAGCCCGCAAATGTTTCTCATTTATCCTTTTCCAGACTTACACAAATCAGATATATTATGTCAACTAGACTAATATAAATAGGGACAGGTTTATAAAAATACTGAGCGGTTCCCGTAATTATCATTTACAATTCTATTCACCTGTTTTCTAATAAAATACATGCAATATACTCGTCACATTTGGCCAATTTTCTATCCTCAGTAATCTATAAAACGGCAGACGTGTTACACGTGTCCGACAAGTGTCAGTCAAACATCGATAATTTAAGCTGGGCCAACTTTAGCATGGGAAAAGACGGTTTTTCAAAGTGTTCAATACCTTTTTCCCCTCTCTGCGTAAAATGTCATTCTTCCAGAAAAAGATCAAACAGTTGAATGTAGAATTCGTAGCAGCTACACTACCACTCCAGAATCTAGACACCCTCGTTTTTTCCGACTCGTGTTCTGCCGTCGATTTCTCAAGTAAATCAACCACAATGAAGACGAACGTTGGAATGTACAACGCCAGGCAGGCAACTGCCAACAAACAGGTATTAATCTTCTTTATATTAACATGCACGGTTGCCTCGGGTAATGCGGCGTTGTCGCGTCGGATTTTTCTGGAAATCTTAAACAATCTGTAGTTGATGAACACAAATGGTGGAAATGCAATGCCAAGGAAAATTAGTGCGGCCACTGAGAAGGAAATTACTATGTCGTTCACAGAAATTGTCATTAAGATAATTGGTATAATGAACAATATTGCGAGTAGTGTTAACAGTCTGCGTCTAGTTACGGATGTTCGATGAAAGAAGGGATAGTATGCTCCCAGATATCGTTCAAAGCTCAGTACCAGAATTGCAACGATAGAAAAGCAAGGGAACACACTCGAAAGTTTTTCATAAGTCGCGGTCACAGTTAATGCATCATACCTTTCATTTAACCATAAGATTAGGTGAATGATCACTAATGGATGATGCGTTATGACCACAAGGAAGTCGAAGCACGACAACACCATGATCATGAAATAGCATAATTTCTTTCGAAGGTCTGCAGAGGATTTCCAAAAACTGACGATCACCAGTAGGTTTAAAACTACTCCTGCGCAAGTAAACAGTATGTTCACGACGCACAAAACTATCGACTGGATGTAAACATTTAAATCCATCTTTCGAATACTGCCATCTGCGTTCAAGCAGGAAGCGTGTTGTACAAGTATACTACAAAAGAATAGCACGTTTGGTTTTTCGAAAATATTGATTTTTGAAGTTTGCAGTTTGCAGTTCGCCTGGCAGTTTGCGCTAATAGTTCAGTTGAGTACTTTGTTACTTGTGCGATAATAATAAACATCGTATCAAATTGCAATGGAATTTAAATTGGGATGATCGTGTCTGTGCATGTAATAGCGCCTTTGTTTTGTGTTTGCGCTAATAGTCAACTAATACCCAAGTTAGTAAACATAGACGTTACATGATATATTTTATATGTTGTGTTATGTCCTAAAATGCATTTGCCATTCACGCTACATTATTTGCGGTGGAATCATAAATATTGTACTACTATGTCCATACTGTCATTTGATTGCTTGGAGATCTGCGAGTACAAAGTATTCGTTGCCTGCTCTAACTCTAAGAAAAGTACGCGCGGCAAACGTTATGCACTAACGCAGACAACATTGTATACATTCCGTAAGCCCGTAACGTACAAAATTCGAAAAACTCAGCGATCCAGATGTCGCATTTCCAGACACGTGGCACGAAAAAAACACACCAAGTCAACTTCCAAGAAAGTGCAGAGAATAGAATAAATACAAATTCACAGAAAAACGTGGTAAAATTCGTAAGATGGCGGTTATTCAATGAGCGACTATTTTAGTCTCAAACAATTGACTGAAATAGTCACTCACTGAATGGCCGCCATCTTGAAACCTGATCTGTATAGTAAACGAGAACACTGGAAACTGAGCCTGCGATGTGCTAACGCAAACTCGATTTCTCGACGACGAAGAAAACAGGAAAAACCCCCAGGAAATTAGGGATTTAAGACACTTGACCTTTCAGGTCAGTGTAATTAGTATTTTATTCCTTTATTCTTTTTAATCCTGTATATATAAACAAGGTCATTGCGATACTTAATTCATAATTAGTTTTAAATTGTATTTTTAAGAGACGAACTTGCATATAAATAGGGACATCATACGACCTGAACTAGCTTCCCACTGAAGAAGCCTTGACCGAGTATATATATATATATATATATATATATATATATATATATATATATATATATATATATATATATATATATATATATATATATATATATATATATATATATATATATATATATATATATATATATATATATATATATATATACATATATATATATATATATATATATATATATATATATATATATACATATATACATATATATATATATATATATATATACATATATATATATATATATATATACATATATACATATATACATATATATACATTTTACATATATACAAATATACAAAATTCACGGAGATATTAATGTTCAAAATCGGGAGCATATTTTGGGATGTGTCTAAAATTAGCGAAAATCGGCATATCAAATATTAACTTCAGCGTTTGTTTGCTTAATGACATATCAGGCTAACTTGTATTTCAGCGAATTATCGTTAGGGTTTGTATGGGATATGGCGTAGATTTAGACATCTTACATGTAAGTCTTAGCTCATTGTTTCCTGAAATATGAACGTTCGAAATTATGCAAGTATTTAATATTAGGTCTTTGCAAACTTAAATGTACATGAAAGACTGACCATGGAAGGCAGGCGCTTAAATTTTTCGTATTCTTAACTAGCCTAATTTTTTTATGTTTTTAATGGGTTCAAACAGACTGAGTAGATTATTTCTCGGTTAGAGCAGGATGAATATTCTTTATTGAAGGAAATAATATTGCTTTTTGCAAATACACATCACCGTATCAACGCTACTATTTTGTTACGTTTTGTTCCAAAAATGTTGCATGTCCCTGGGGAGTTGCTTAATTGTTATGTCTTATGGAGTTGTATGGTTTGATTGTGTTTCATATAATTCTCAGTTTACTCCATGAACTTGCCAAGATTAAGAAACGGCAAAAGAGTTTGGGTGTTCTTAACAAGATTTCAGAACGTTGCAGAAGTTAGAAGAGCTTCACAATTCCGTTGTGACAGCATGCCCTAATTCAGAACTACGAATGATCCAATGACGATCCTTCGCGATGCAGTGGTCTCATGAAATAAGGAAACGTATTCGTGCTAGGAACACACGCGAATTTCGGACGAATGAATCTTGCTTGTATTTTGTAGATATAATAATACTTTGTTTCATAATAAACAATTTGTCAAGTGTCATTTATTTACTGGTAATAGTGCATGCTTCAGTCGGGCAAATCTTGATTAATATTTGATACGCCGATTTTTGCATATTTCAGACACATCCAGAAATATCCTCCCGAATTTAAAGATTAATATCTCCGTGAATTTTTAAGTGAAATACAACTGTAATATATCAAAGTCTAAGTTAGTCCTTCCTCTATTTTATGCAAGTTATTTCTCTTTAAAAGCTATACTTGTTTAGATGTTATTACGAATCAAACAGGAGTACTTTTTTTTGGGCCACCCGGTATATATATATATATATATATATATATATATATATATATATATATAGTATATATATATATATATATATATATATATATATATATATATATATATATATATATATATATATATATATATATATATATATATATATATATATATATATATATGGCATAAATCATCTAATACATGTACAAGTTGGTGCATGAAAGCTTTAAATTGATCATATTTAATTTACACAACACGCAAATCAATTAAACGTTCATCAATCTTTAAAATCTGATAAAAAATGAACGGTTAATATCACAAACGTTCAAGTCTTTGGAAATAGTTTTCGTGTAGGAAAACGAAACGTTAGACAAAACGTATTTAATTTTGTAATAATCTAGAAGAACAAATAAAAGAAACAAAATTCATCAATCTTGTTGGTAAGCCCACAAATGTTTCCCATGCATTTATCCTTTTTCCAGACTTATATGAATCAGATGTATCAAGCCAGCTAGACTAAATATAGGGACAGGCTTATAAAAATACTCAGCGGTTGCTGTAATAAAATATATGCAATATACTCGCCACATACTCGCCACATTTGGCTGATTTTCAATCCTTAATCTATAAAACGACAGACGTGTTATACGTGTCCGACAAACATGGATAATTTAAGCTGGGCCAACTTTAGCATGGGAAAAGACGGTTTTTCAAAGTCTTCAATACCTTTTTCCCCTCTCTGCGTAAAACGTCATTCTTCCAGAAAAAGATCAAACAGTTGAATGTAGCATTCATAGAAGCTACCGTGCCATTCCAAAATCTAGCCATCCTCGATTTTTCCGACTCGTGTTCTGCCGTCGATTTCTCAAGTAGATCAACCACAATGAAGACGAACGTTGGAATGTACAACGCCAGGCAGGCAACTGCCAACAAACAGGTATTAATCTTCTTTATATTAACATGCACGGTTGCCTCGGATGATGCGGCGTTGTCGCGTCGCATTTTTCTGGAAATCTTAAACAATCTGTAGTTGATGAACACAAATGGTGGAAATGCAATGCCAAGGAAAATTATTAACGCCACTGAAAAGGAAATTACCAAGTCGTTCACAGAAATTGATATTATGACAGTTGGTACAATCAACAATACAGCGAGGAGTGTTAGCAGTCTGCGTCTGTTGACTGATGTTCGATGAAAAAAAGGATAGTATGCTCCCAGATATCGTTCAAAGCTCAGAACCAGAAGTGCAACAATAGAAAAGCAATGGAACAAACTCGAAAGTTTCTCATAAGTTCGTGACACAGTTAGTGCATCATAATTTTCATCTAACCATAAGATTAGATGAACGATCACCACTGGCATATTTGTTATGACAACAAGGAAGTCGAAGCACGACAACACCATGATCATGAAATAGCATAATTTCTTTCGAAGATCTGGAGAGGATTTCCAAAAACTGACGACCACCAATAGGTTTAAAACAACTCCTGCGCAAGTATTTAGTATGTTAAGGACGCACAAAACGATCGTCTGGATGTAAACATTTAAATCCATCTTTCGATAATGAAATCAACTGCTCGAACAGATTACTGCCATTTAATTTGCGTTCAAGCAGGAAGCGTACAAGAATGTCACATTTGTTCTCAAGTAGCAGTCACAATCAAATTTTGGAATTCCTTAGTTTGTCCACGAAATTTCCTTATTTTTCAAGAAAATTATTTAAATGAACTTAATTAACATGACGTATGCGTGTTGAAGCGAGTCAGAATTTCGGTGACAAATAACAAATGATAGCGTTTTAATTTCGTTTCTAGGCCGGACATTACGAAATATGTATTTAAAAGAATAAAAATATTAGTATCACAAGCTCACGATATTTTTTTCTGAAATTGTGATATTCCTCAGAATATTTCTTAATAAAATATTAAATTGCTTCTTTAAAACTTCCCAGCAAAATTCCTTGTTTTAAGGACATTTCCTTAGACGTGAGAGCGTTGTTGTTCACTATTTAAACGCACCGTTTCAGAAGGTTATCATGCCCGTTTAAGCAATGAAATTGAATCGTTTGAAAATACGAAAATATGCGAAATATTGTTTGCCGGAAAGAAGAGTATACTTTTATTCTTCTATTCTCGTAATTCGAAATAGTGTATCATGTACGCGTATGCGTAGGAGTGCGCAGCACGAGCATAAAAGACGACTAACACGTGTTTTGAATAGCTTCAAACACGACTACACGAATAGATGCCGTCTCATTATAGTATTCTTTATATAAATAATATACTAACTAGGATGGATTTCTGTATGAAGAATACTAATGAAGATGAGTTTTATCAGGTCGTATAAAGCATCTTCAAGTGACATATTATGGTTGACATGATTTGCCAATAAGCTTGTGAATTATGAATTATTAATGAGTGTTTGAATTATATTTTATAGCTGTAGCTGACATTTACGGATTTACAGGCTACAGCATGAAATTGTATAAACATCAATGGAATTCAAACAAAATATGACGTACGTTTTGTTATTGAGCAAAGCTACAGTGACTGAAGAAATAACGCAGAAATCATGCAGGAAATGTTTAATACTTTAAATTACCAAGCTATATAACAAGGTGGATCAGATTTAAATAAATAAATAAACAGGACACTGAACGGAGGGTGAAGTCGCTAAGTCCATGAAAATATGCAAAACATTAGTGTAGTACAAGTACCAGTATACTACTAAAGAATAGCGCGTTTGTTTTTTCGAAACTATATCGATTCTTGAAGTTTGCAGTTCGCCTGGCAGTTTGCGCTAATAGTTCAGTTGAGTACTTTGTTATTTGTGCGACAATAACAAACATCGTATTAAATTGCAATGGAATTTAAATTGGGCTGATCGTGTCTGTGCATGTAATAGAGCGTTTGTTTTGTCGAAAATCATGATTTTCCAAGCTTATTGTTTGCACTAACAGTCAACTAGAACCCAAGTTACCAAACATAGACGTTACATGATATATTTATGTTATGTTATGTCCAAAAATGCATTTGCCAGTCACGCTACAATATTTGCTGTGGAATCATAAATTTTGTACTACAATGTCTATACTGTCATTTGATATGTGCTTGAAATCTGCGAGTACAAAGTATTCGCTGCCTGCTCTATTAAAACTCTAAGAAAAATATGCGCGGCAAATTATTTCTTGATTTCTTTCTTGCTCAGCCTTCAGAAAAAAGCAATCGATTTATATCCTGGATTTATAAAAGTAGGTTTAGAAGACGAAATACTAACAATGTGAATATACGAGTTTAAATTATGAAGCATTTAGCTTTTAAAGCGAGGACTTGGAACTTGGCGGCAAAAATTTAGACTGTACAACACTCTCTAAAACTGGAAATTATTTTCAAAATCCTTACTATAGAAATAGTATGGATCTTGGACTCTTAGTTGGAAATAGTATGGAAATCCAATTTACATACTAATTGCAACTATTGATATACTATGGATTTAGTGATGCAATCGCAAATAACATAGTATGAATTTCACTATGTTTTCCCAGTGTAAAAACACCCAGGTTAACATTTTCCAGGTTAACCGAGAATTAACCCTATTTGGGTTAATTTAATATTACTGGTTAAATTTCCCGGCTATTTTATCTCACATAGCCTGGTTATAGTGTAACCAGGAATCTGATTATATTTGACCACGACGTCCTGGTTAAATTAACCAGACTATCTTAGGCAGATAAATAATCAGTGGAGCCGCGATGTCAGTAGATTAGTATAGGTAATAGCATGGTTTCGAGTGTAATTTGGATACAACATGCACGAGTGCTATTTTGAGGTCTTTGAAAAACTCACGAGTGCATGTTTATCCAAATTTCACGAGAAACCATGCTATATTACTTGTCGATAATTTACATAAAAGTATTGGAGACAATCAAATTTGAACTTGACCAAGTGTGGGAATCTTTCCGCACCGCTAAATGTGGCCATCTTTGTTTTGACAAAAGAATATTTTTAAATTTTTCCCGCCAAAACCTAGCTCAATTTTGATTGGTTCATAGTGATTACGAAAATTGCTCTGTGATTACAGATTTTTGCACTGCTGTTTAAATGGTATTAACTGCACTGAAATCAACTAATCACAGACGAGTAATACTTTTATGCATGATATAGTCTAATAATTGTTTGACTTACTTGGTAGGCATGCCCAGTAAAGTGTGTGTAAAGTCGTGAATTTCACGATATCTCTGCATGATGTAAGCCAGTTCTGGATCATCAACAAACCGTACCTAGAGAACGAGTGACGTACTACTATTCAGCATTACCTAAAACTGCAAATGGTGGAACATTCTCGAGTTCTTAGATCGAGCAGTGGCTCTCAAATTCAAGTTCCTCTAATTAAGAACACATTACAGCCACAGGACCACTCAGCAGAACGTAATCGAGTGGCAAATTATTTCTTGATTTCTTCTCGCGGGTAATTCGATTCGCGTTGTGGACGTTCAGTCAGTCAACGCTCTCTACCGAAAGTCGTGGGTTTTCTCCGGGTACTCTGGTTTCCTCCCACAGGGAATGTTGACAGGGTTGGTTGGGATTAGGGAGCGGTCATTATTTATGGCGGGGGGTGGCACCGAAGAGAAAAAGGTTGGGTAAACAAAATTTTGAGTGAGTAAAAGGTTGGGTAAATGAAAAACACAACAACTCAAGGGTTGGGTAATAAAAATTTATTGTCATTTCAAAAACATGACTCACTGTCAAAATATCGTCGACTGAAAAGCAATGTCAACAGTCATTTGTCAATACTATATGTGAATCAATCAGAGTCACTATCTTGATCATTTTGACAAAACAAATGGTGTTTCCAAAGAAAGTACATGTGCAGACAACATGAAACTTTAGACTGCAGAAAATTTCACAATCCGTTATGAAACTCATGTCACAGAAGAGGTAAAGGACATGTGTGACAACTGAATGGTATCTTTTTGTAACGTTTTTGGCCAGGGGTGGGTAATTATTTTTCAATTGATATTTGAGGTTGGGTAATCAAATTTTTTGACTTTTTAATGGTTGGGTCAGCAAAATTTTTGCCACGAAAAACATTTCTCTTCGGTGCCACCCCCCACCATAAATACTGACCGCTCCCTTAACCCGAAAGCTGGGATTAGTCCTAAACTAACCCTTCCACCGTAGCTGTGCTCCGTGATTAGACATGAGTCCTAAGATCGCATATTATTCTTAGAGTTAGAGCCAGGCCCTAAAATATCGGTCGGTCACGGACATTGTCCGACCCATTCGTGAAATTGTCCGACGTAGTGAGGAAGCCACCGGACATTCTGTCCGACATAAGTGAAACTGAGGTTTACTGTTTGTCCGACCCGAGTGTATTGGTGTCCGACCGAACTGTAGCTTTGTCCAACGTAAATCAATCAGTAGCAAGGCTCGTATGTTAAATGGAAAATCAGAGGACTATTGAGTATCGTATAAAAAGTGAACTGGAAATGTTGTTTTAACCTAGCTAATCGAGCGCGGGGCGGCGAGCGAAATGGTGAAGTGGAAAACGGGCTTAACTTGTCGAAGTCTTATTGCTGTTCTTGCAAGCAAGTTATTTTTAGCTTGGAAATAAGTATGAATGACACAAATTATTTAATATCTTCACAACATCTACCGTTCAGAATGAATACATTGTGCTGATATTCATTTGTGTCATTCAGACTTATTTCCGAGCCAAACTGAACTGAAGGTCATCGGACATATGTCCGACCCAAACTCAACGTCATCGGACATTTTGTCAGACAGCCCTGTAAAAGATATTTTAAGGCCTGGTTAGAGCAGGCAACGAATACTTTGTACTCGCAGATCGCGGCACATATCAAATGGCAGTATCAACATAATAGTACAAAGCCCCATAGTAGCCCGGTGCATAGTATAACTTTTCAAACAAATTAATGATCAACTTACAGGAAGTCTGGTGTCAGGAGTTACTTTCTAAAATTAAAAAAATAACATGAATTTATGAATTAATTTAATCAATACATCATGCATGATCATAACTTTATATTATCATCCCTCAGATACTTGATACTACTCATGTGTCAGATGTTGGGATCCGAGGTAACCATTTTACCTGCAAGTGACTGCTAACTGTAAACCTGGGTTAGAAGGTCTTGTGCACGCTACACGGCAAAAAAAAACGCTCAGGTTGATGCGATACTGACGAAAACAGGATTGAACAATGTTTTGCTGCCCACATTGTTCACAGTTGTCAACAATATTGAACAATATTGTTACACCCGATTCAGGCTCAACAATACTGTTCAATATTGTTGACAAGTGTGAACAACGTGGGCAGCAAAACATTGTTCAATCCTGTTGAGCAACGGGCTCGGCGCTTTTTGCCGTGTAGTATAGTAGAAAATTTCAATTTTTCCCAGTGTATCTTTTTGCAATATTTACCCACCAGATTTAATAGGTGTCTCTTTTCTATAACATTCTCTTTACTATTTTAAAACTTTGTGTTGTTTTGCTATTTTCCTGCCAAATTTATTTATCAAAATAAATCTCAATCCGTCAAGCTCTGAGTTTGGTTTCCTATTGTCAAAATTGACTTTCTCACACCCAATGGCCAATTGCTCAGAACATTCCCTCTGGTACGTGACCCAGTCCCCTATCACAACTCCCAAGCTACACAGCCCCTGTTCCTGCTTCTCGCAAAAAACTGCAAATTATTTTTGATTAGTTGCAAAAAAAGTATATAATATACATGCATGAGATTATACTCACGTTTTTGTCTAAAAACTTTGTATATTCTTTTCCAAACGTTCCCTCAGGAAGTTCACGTAATGCGGGCACATCAATGGTTGATGTATTAATTCGTGGTTGCTCTCTATAAGAGATATTTAACTACCAATATTTCTCAAGGTCTAAGACACATTGGTATACAAACAGGTCAAGGTCTAAGACACATTGGAATATTGTTCAAATGTTTCTGTAATGTTACCTAGTTTTAATTAACTCACGCCCGTATTCTAAAAGCTCACTCACACTCACACTCAATGAGTGGAGGTTCAATCTGAGCTTCTCTTGAGTGTCAATGCTGTTTTTGAATAACTGGAAGGTGAGTGTTGTACCTTACTATGTGACTATACTTACCCTCCAGCTATTCAAAAACAGCATTAACACTCAAGAAAAGCTCAGATTGACCCACTCATAGAGTGTGAGTGAGCTTTTCGATTATGGGCGTCAGATCGAGTTTTAGTTTACCTCAGAATTTTTTGTCCCTCTCGATCTAGCTGCATTGATCTTCTTATTCTTTTTAAAGCAAGATACCCGGTGCTCTCTCCTAGCACAGCTATCATATCTGTGTGAGTCAATAGACAGTGTTTCAGTGTGATTGCAATTCAACCTATTGATGCCTAGTATTATAGTGTGAACGGACTTCCCATGCATGGAGTTTATGATATACTTAAAGTAAAATCACACAAAAAAGTCGGGGTCACCGAATTCGTTAAGAAGATATGACAATCACAATATATACCACCTTTACCCCAATATAGCGCCATCTTGACGCTCATTACGAGTAACAGCAAAATCACAACAGCCGATATTTATTGACGTTTTTAGAGCGGATTTTGCTTTAGTAAACCTATCTTGTAATTATTTTTGAAAAAATATTGTGTTTTGAGCAAAATGAAACTACTAACGTGTACAATTGTGATCCACAAATGTCTTTTCCACATTTCTTTACATATCTTTCTTTGAGAACATGCATTGATAAAGGATTTTTTTTCAAGATTCAGAAATGATTTTTCTTTTAATTTCGTATATGAAATGTAAAATGCATTGAAGAAATAAATTATCAGTTAAAAAACGGGGGTCATCGATCTTTTTAGGGAATTGTGGCATTAAAACGTGAAATACAAGTAAATAAATATACTACAGACACAGAAACCCTAGCTACACTTTTGTATGCCTTTTTTGAAAACTTGATTTTAACGTAATTCTTTGCACGACTGTAACCAAAGATGTTTTGAAGTAACATAAAATTGTCATAAAATGATTCTTTTTAAACGGTACTGTATGTATAAACACCGCGGAAAAACGTCTGCGCATGCACCAAATTATGAAAATATGGCGGGGAATTTGAATATCAATTTCTAAAACAAAAACATGCTTATTAATTGGTCAAAAATTAGTAAAACAAACGAGAAAATATAGCAAATGGGTAGACTAGACATTAATTGAAAGCGTCCTGGCATTTTAAGTATGGAATGAAATATAATTCATGTAAAAATTGTTGATTTTAACGGACACGACTTCGAAAATTTTTGCAAAATTATTCAAAACAAAAATTCAAACTCAAAAGTTAAGAAAACTCTCGAAAAGTTAAGCTTCTTAACCCACTCAAATTGTAGAATAAATCCTAAAGTTTAATTATTGTGAACACGAAATTTTTTTATATTTGGCGACACAGTTTTTTTTTAAGAAATGTATCTCAAACGAAAATTCGGAAATTGTCGTTGCTTAGTTGATAAACAAAGCTAACGCATGCGCAGACGTTTTTCCGCGGTGTTCCCATTTACACTTGCAATTTTGCTGTGATTTTCTCCTTCTGATGCATATAAATGAGTAGATCAAGATGAGTTACAAATGTTCGAAGTACATGTACCCTCATCTGAATATTCATTATTAACTTATCCACTCGTTCATATCCATCAGACGAAAAAAATCACAGCAAAAATTGCAAGTGTAAACGAGACGTTAGAGGGACAGAGAGAGAGAGCAATTTAGAACTGCTGCAGCTATCTGGCATAAAGAAGTTAGTTTAATCAGTTTTTATTATATTATAAATAACATGTCAACCATATTATTGAATAGTTTCACTTGGTAGCAGCAGTGAAATATTTCTTGTACCTCATTGAGTCTCAGCACTCTTGCTTTCATGAGTAAAATTGTCTGGCATTAAACAGAGTAAAACACCGTAGACCTCCAAATATGAGCCCAGGGCTTATACACAGAGGGCCTTGTATTTGGGGGGCTTATATTCAGAATGACCTGAGAGTTAGTGAATATGATGGGCTTATATATGGGAGTGGGCTTATATTTGGGTGAGCTTATATTCAGAGGTTTACAATGAAAAAGTAGGGCCAGTGGTGTAACTGGCAGGAGTCCAGAGACAAAGGCCCCTGGCAAAAATTACCATAATTTTTTTTTATAGAGGGCCAGAAAATTTGCAACAGATGGCCCCAAAAGCAGGAATTGGTGAAACTGTGAACTTTGGACCCATTTTTTTAGTAGACATGGATGGGGAAAAATTTTTGAAACTTTTTTTTTTACTTGTGATAGTCCAGAAAATTTTTTGAAGGTTCCCTTTTTTTATGAATATGGTTTGAAAAATATTTTTTCTTTCCTCCCCCCACCCACTGCCACTGAGTAGGGCACCTCATCTGGAAGACATACAGTCTTTCAACTAATACCCAGAGATGGTATTTTTCCAACTAACCATCTCTTTTTGGATCAACAAAGGCAGCCAGACCAGATCCAACAGCGAGTAAACCTTTCTGAAACCAAGTGGTAGGAATATGATGTGGATACAAGATTTCTTGTTCACTGTATTCCATATCTTCAAATTCATATTCTTCTAGCTGTAGTGGTATTTCTGAAAGACATACAAATGTGAAGAATTGGTCATTCCAGAATAAATCCACACCCTCGCTGTGGAGAAAATTTGCACTGTCTGGGGAATAGGAAGGGGGGAATCTCTAATAATAGCAACATGTTCCAGGATGTCAAAAGAGGATTGAGAGGAAGATCAGCATATAATTTCCTCTGTGGTCATGTGCATGTTTTCTTGAAATGACCCAGGCAATTGTATTATCAAGTATATACTCAGGTAACAGTGTTACGTAACAAGTGTTACACAATCTTTATTTAGGGGTAGGGGTGGGGTTAGGGTTAGTGTGTGTAACACTATGTAACACTCTGTAGTACTATGTAGCACTGTGGAACACTATGTAACAACGTGTAACACTATGTAACACTGTGTAACACTATGTAGCACTGGAACACTATGTAAGAATATGTAACATTGTTTAACACTGTGTAACACTTGTAAGAGTGTCAGTGGCGCCGTGGCCGGGGGCATGCCCCCCCCCCCCCATTGTTGAGACCCATCGGAAAATTGTTAATGTTGTCGGAAATTGTTGGAAAATTGTCACTGTTGTCGGAAATTGTCAAAGTTGAACAGTGTTACAACTGAGTGCCATAATAAAGCCACTCCAAATCGTGCATGGTATATAGGCAATCTCCCCTCGATGAACATTTGAGAATGGTTGCCTAACTTCCACAACGACCACATGGTTGGTGTCGAGTGGGAAAGTCTCTAGATTGTATGAAATGACATTTTCAAAGTTTTCTCTACCCCTTTTCGCAAGACCCAACACGTAAGAGACAAAATAAATCTGTTTCATCAGTTCATAAAAAAAATGCTGATTTTGTAGGATTTTCTTGAAAATGCACACACAGGCAGAAATTCAGCTAAAATTTCTGCACAGGTACGTGTTCCAAAAGACCAAACATTACAGTCCGGGAGGTGTGTCAAGACAGGTATGGGCCTATTCAGTCATGGCTATTCTTGGCTTTCACTACAGGGGGTCAACCTCAAATGTATTGATGCTTATGCTGTACTGGAGTGAAAAAATGATACGAAATCCCACGTATTTGCCACCAAACACAAGGCTATTACCAAACAATCGATTCACTCTGATATAAACTGTGTTTTGTTTTTAGAGTTGACCCCACCTGACCCACTTACTCCACCCTTACCCCTACAATTCACATGTAACATTCATAAATGATAAACTGCATTAAAATGTCAGTAATTTTTGATAATACGATAAAAGCAAACCTTGTGCTTCTGTGGTCAGAAATCTTGGCACGCATCTTTTTGTACATTTTTTGCACAAATTAAACTGTATCAAACGCCGAGTAGTACAAGCCATTTGACGTCTGGACACAAAATTTTAAAAATAACAAATTTCAAACAGACTGACAGGACTGACAGTGAACACAATTAACATTTGAAAAATACTTTTCTACTAAAAAAGTACAAATATTGAATTATTTTTTCCAAAAAAATTCTCGGGTGCCACAATGCTTCATGTAAACAAATTTTTATGTATCAGGTTGAGGGATAACCGGGGAATATTGTAATCTTTGGTGAATTAGAATGGATTCCTACGGTTCGCGTAGTGTAGATTTGGATAGAAACATATTATTAATCCTACTAATTCCTCGTTACCATTAATGTTTCTATTAGGATGCTTATTGTATCTCTGGAACCATCACTGCCCTTGCGCGACTACTGACCTCTATATGCAAACGGACCACTATACATAGTATATTTTGCAATCATTTAATTTTCTTTCATTTTATATAAAACATTATTCAAAATATTCAATTGATGGATTTCAATAAAGCGTTACGTGGCAGCAGACGCTGATCAAAATAAAAACAAATTGACAATAAAATAAACTACATCTTTATCTATTGAGTATTGTATTTATACGCCTCAAAATTCAAGAATTTGAAAAGAACTGACATTCTTTTCTCACCATTATAACCAGGGCCGTGCCAAGTGGTTTTTGGTTGGGGGAGTGAAATAAAAAATTTGGGGGCCCTCCCATTTGCCCCCCCCCCAAACCAAAAAATTTTTCCGCAAAATACTGGCGACGGGGGAAGGGTCGCAAAACTTTTTTCAAACACTAAGTTTACATAATGGGGGCTTAAATTTAGTTTTGAAGACCTTTTTAGACCAATTTTCCAGAAAATTCCTTTAATATTTAACAGGTTCCGCAATTCCAGCTTTCCAGGGCCCCCTCTCCGCAAGTTGGGCCCCTTTTTTATTTTTTTGGGGGGCGGGGGGGGGGGGTATCACCGTGGCACGGCCCTGCCCACCCTGTCAACTTTCCCTGCCTGTGGGAGAAAACCGGAGCACCCGGAGAAGACTCACGACTTCTGGTAGAGCGTTGACTGCTTGATTCTTTCCACATGAGTCCGCAGCAAGTATCGAACCCACGATCTCAGAAGTGAAAGGCGCTTTCTCTGACGAATGGGCCCCCGACGCCCCAGGAAAATTTTAGAAAGAGCATAACCCCTATAGAGCATAACCCCTATACCGGCCAAATTTGAGCCACTTTTCTACAGGAAAAAACTACACTTTCACTAATTTATCTTCACTGGACACCTCTCTCGAGGTTATGGGCGATTCCTTGTTGCTTCCCTTTTATACCGAGTGAAACCTAAACTCACTCTAGCTATACTGGATTGTATTATCAGTTTTAAATTGGACACCCACCGTTCTGTATGTCTGTAGCTGTTGTTCTTTTGCCTGTAAACCCTTTCTCAGATCATCACATTCCCTTTCAAAAGTCTGAAAGAACACATAGAAAAGATAAGTTTAAAATATTTTAAAAAAATTAAGTTTCATCGAAAAATATTTTTCACTTACTTTATTAACATTTACTTGGGCTTTCAGCCTGCAAAACAAATAACACCAAACTAAGATTGGATTCATTAATAGTCTGGTTGCATGCAGGAACCAGGAATCTGGTTATATTCGACAAAGACGTCCTGGTATTAAATTAACCAGATTTTGTTAGGCGGATGGGTGTTTTAGAGGGTGTAACCAGAATACATACCTGTCAATATCAGCCTCTTTCACTTCGAGTTGGTTATTCAGAGTTGTCAATTTTGTTTTGGCGTCTTCGAAATCTACATAAAAAACCCAGCAACTTTTTAATATTGACTCTAATAACTGTATTAAAAACATAAGAAGCTCATTAACACACTGAGGCTATAGTTATCCGAACTATAGATATTAAAAGTAAACAGCAATCGTTTTGCTTGTGTATTTCTGAACCTCTTGATATTTCAAACCCTTACACGCTAAGTAAAACTTCTATTGATCCAGACAACATTTCTGCATAAAACATTTCCAAGTTCGTTGGGACGTTTGCTGTTTTAAGTTTTAAGTTACTAGTATTAAGCTAACCGCAGCAATCAAACCTAGAACTGCAATGGACCAATACTCGGTATGAGCTAAGGACCACCAGTCTTACTATATGCACACAAGAAGAACTATAGCTATTCAGATAAACAGGCGAGAATAGCACGAACTAATATATACTGTCTAGCAATGGATTTTTTCCAGATAGTTTGTCTATCTGTTTTCCAAGACGCCAAGTTATATTAGGCAAAACTTTCTTTCACACCAAAAAGATATCGATGCCTTGACTCCAAAACTTCGAAAATCAAACACATCTGTCAACGAGCATTTGAAAAGTACCTGATTGAACTCCGACCAGTTTTTCAGTGAGGTGCATAACATCTTGCTGAGACTGAAATAAAGCCTTTTCCAACTTCTTTTTTCCTCTGAAATGAATACAAACGATTCGGTCTACATCTACTGCAAAGCATTTCGGGCAGAGAGTCGTGTTATTTATATAACATTAGATATGTGAGCATGGTCTGCATTCTACTCGACACTTTCTTGACGTAACACTGACCGATTCAAAAACTAGTTACCACACAACTTTGAATTATTGCATATCTCATTCATGGTCATTCATTGCCAGGCGCTAATAACCAGTTTTTCAAACAAAACAAGTTATTTAAGGCAAAGCTAGTGTGATAGTTTAAGATCGAAAACGATCCATATAAGTGAAATTATAGTCCTTTGAAATGTGCAAAAAGCACCAAAACGAGGCGGTCATGCTTGTTTGCTAAATCTATAGCAGAGACTTCGGTATTTTTAAAATTTAATTTTCTAAAGAGAATACATACTTTGTAAAACTGTTAGGCAGCAGTGTTTACCATGGTTGCCCAATTTCAGGGGGAAAAAGGATGACAACCATGGGCATGGATGCGAAAAATGGAAGAAATATCATTGTAAAATGTCGGCAGAATAAATGCCCAGAATGGACCAATCCCCAATTAACTCTAGACTTGTTGAGTTCAAAATTCTGGTTAATTGGGGATTGGTCCATTTTCCTTAATTTTTCAGAATTCTCCATGTTCAGAATTTTCCTCAATGCAAAAAACATTTGACTCCAAATTTGAGTAAACTAAACCCATAGCGACTCATGCAAATATCGAATAAAATGAATAAAATTGTACTCAGGTGAATGATAATGCTTGTGATGTTACTCTGAGTGTATATCCTGCACACCGGACAAAAGTCGTAGGTTCGGTTGCCACCGTGAATGGCCAGGCGTATTTTTCAAGCTTCCGGGTGTGGATATACACGGCTCAGAGTAACATCACAAGCATCGAATAAAATGTTCCAAATTGATTCGGTTGCACAGGAGCACGTTTTCTATTACTAGTTTTCATATAGCAAGTTTTATTTGCTATCATTCTCCATGACAAGTTTCTGAATCTGAGCTGGCCACCATAGGCATAGCTATTATTAGCCATTACAACATTTGATCGTTGACCAACCCCATGTGTGTGCTCAAATTACTTTCCCAAATTTTCTTTGTTGACCCGAACACAATCGCAAAAATTGGCAAAGTTGCCTATACAGCAAACAAAACTTGTCATACTTGTCAAAACTTGTCCATTACCGGCTTGATACGGGAGCAAGCATGCACTTAACATAAGGTGCGATAATTCGCGCACTTATGGTACTTCTTAGTTCTTAAGGTCTATACAGACCGAACGCGATTTGACAACGCGACGCGAGTTTTCAGTTTTTAAAAACAAATAAAACCGTCAACGAATAGAAATTTGACAAGATATGCAGACCAAATAGCTAAAATTGCTTAAGTGGTTCCGAAGTTAAATGTCATTGAAAATTGAAAATTCGCGTCGCGTTGCCAAATCGCGTCCGGTCTGTATGGACCTTTATGGACGCGGTTCTAGCTATCTGCGTATTTACATTTTGCTATAGTACCATGCAAATAACCAGCAAATTTTCCAAACCCATGATATTCAAAATCTAGCCTGCGTAACGAATTTCTGTATACAGACTGTTCGCAGTCTATTATATTCAAAACAGTATCAGCAAAATATCTATATGTGTTAATCCGATATTTCTGGCATGTCTTGGCAGGAAACAAGATTAGACTAAAAGCGTTGCACTCAATCAAATTGTGTTTGTATATGCAAATGTCTCCTTCTTGTTCAAACTCGTGGTATCTGGTTACTGCAGAATGAGTGCTATATATTCAGAGAATAGTGCTTTCTCTAGGCTGTTGCTCTATTCCAAAGATTAAGTACACCTTGAGTCTTGTATTTGATCAGCTTAGCGCGTGGCAATAATTATTGGAGTAGCGGTGAAGTGTGTCTGAAAATATTGAATTATCGCACTCTTGCAATAGCGTCAGTATATCATGTGTATTTGTCATTCAAATATGAGATACCGATATCAAAACATAAATAACTTAATAGGACAAACAATAACAACAATCTCGTTGAAAAGTAAATTGCGAATACCCTATAAAATGCACGTAATTTTTAGATTCAGCGACGTGGACCAGGTGAAATATAGGCCCAAACAAACCCAGACAAACTCGCACCCTTGAAGAATCTGTTCCACCTACTGAGCTATCAAGTCACTATAATAGATACTGAACTCGCAAGTTCATTGCTGTAATTACTATAAGCCTACAAAAACAGGTGGTCATGCGTTCTTATCTTCTATAACTACACGAGATTTGAACTCTCGACCATCAAGAATCTAGTTGACTATACTTCATTGCTCTATATACCCATATTTGAGCTATCAAGCATATACAGAGATTGGTAGTGAGTTCTATCGTTTATAAAAACACGCGATTTGAACTCTCAATCTTCAGGAATTTAGTCCACTGCTTTACCTGTTGAGCTATCAAGCCTACAGAGATTGGTGGAGAGTTCTTATCTTTTATGAGCACACGAGATTTGAAATCTGAATCTTCCCACCTAGTCTAAAATTTATAGTGGCGACTTTCGATTCTTTACAGTGTATAGAATAATACCACACAAAACCTACAATTCGCAAGTACATTATATACAAACAAACCTGATTTAGTCTAACCATTTTGTTTACTTTCCAATATGAAGGCTTATAAATGAAAATCTTTCAAGATATACAGACGAATTTCTTCGTTTAATTCAGGCAAAGAAACCAGTAGAGCAGGAACGATAGACGTTTTAATGTATTGAAATCCAAGCGTTTATTATACCTCTGCGCTGTGCTTAGCAACGGCTAATGAAAGATGATATCCTGTTTAAAACAGCGTAACGTCAACATAGCAATTATAGACATAGTGTGCATTGTTTGATAAAGTAATTTGGGACGTTTTGTCTTAATACAATAGTTATTAAGAAATTAGACTTAGAAATTTGCATAAACGGACGTAACGCGCACAAAAAACTACAATGAGTATATTCAATGCACTTGCTTTAATTATATAAATCGCATCTTATTTTATAATTTTTTACTGTTATTTCATTTTCTGAACCACCAGAAAATGCATTCAAAAAGGTACTTACTGCATAAAATCGAAAATAAAACTAACATTAAACTAATTTTGAGAGGTACCTCAAAAAGACTAAAGGTTTCGAACGCTTTTTATGCCAAATGACATATGACATAGAAAAAATTCAACGTAGCTCACTGATACAGCATTAAATTTTACTAGTTAAAAAATTTTTTAATTATATCATCTCTCATTCTGTGACCATATCGTTGTCTCCATGAGATGATTTAGGCAAATCGAAGTATCACTACGTACAGACACTAAGTTAGCACAAACTCTTTAAAAAATTTGATTTTATTTGTTCCAATGACCACGACGTATAAGATTAAGCTTCAACTGATGCTCGTACTATAATCCACTATTATTATTATTTAAGCCCCGTTCAAGCGAGAGAGTTGATGAAACAATAGTCTATAAAGATATGATAGTCTGGAAACTAAACAGAAGTCATTGTGTTATGTGTTCATTCCAGTTTTATTTGTGCATGGTCAAGGTGATTGAGCTCATTGTATTTTCGTATAATGGGATTAATGAAGTAGTCGTCCGATTTGGATAGCGGAGGTGAAACATGCAACACGTCACGATGAATAATATTTATGAGGTACAGTTCAACATCAAACTACAGGGTGTCTCAAAAAAAAACAAAATCATTGAAATTGACGTATTGTTCGATATTCAATGCCCTAGCACTAAGTTAATCCCACGAGTGCATAAAAGA